TCTCCCCATAGCTTTGTGTCATCTGCAAACTTGGACAGAGTACATTTCACTCCCTTGTCCAAGTCACTGATGAAGACATTAAAGAGTATTGGTCCAAGGACCGAGCCCTGCGGGACCCCACTGCCCATACCCTTCCAGGTCGAAACCGACCCATCCACCACGACTCTCTGGGTGCGACCCTCCAGCCAATTCGCCACCCACCAGACTGTGTAGTCATCCAAGTCACAGCCTCTTAACTTGTTCACCAGTATGGTGTGGGATACCGTATCGAAGGCCTTCCTGAAGTCTAAGTATACGACATCCACCCCTCCTCCTGTGTCCAGGCGTTTCGTAACCTGTTCATAAAAAGAGACTAGATTGGTCAGGCACGATCTGCCTGCCACGAACCCGTGCTGGTTTCCCCTCAGCATAATTTGTCCTGCTGGCCTCTCGCAAATGTGAGCCTTGATAATTAATGTGAGCCTTGATAATTGTTAGTTGAGGCAGATAACTTATCTGCCTCAACTAAAAATGATCCTTGTACATCACCCCATCCCTCCCACTTCTGTTTCTTCCTATTCTGTGTCCTTTCCCCTTTGTCTTCTAAAATGCTTTTGGCCACTTATGGGGGGTGCATCTACACATGCACTTTCCTGTGGAGTTGACTAATTAGCTCCATAATAAAGCATCACAGTCTGCACATGCACCAGTATTAGGGTGCAGTAAATTAACAAGCTCTGCCATAGAATAATACTGTCCAGGACAGTACTGTCCTACAGCAGAGTGGTTAGATGAGCTGCAATGCATGTGTAGACTGTGATGGGCTGGCTGGGCACAATGGTGCTACAGTGCAGGGTTAGCTGCTCAATGCCGCCACCCTCAAGCCTGGGGCTGACCACCCGGACCCCCTCCAGCATGGAGGTGCTCCTCCCTGGCTCAAAATGCTGTGGTCCCAGGCACGTGTCTAAACGCTGTACTCGGGAGTAGTTTTCTCTGAGGTGAACTGTGCCAGAGTTTATTGCTCTGAGTTAATTATTTGTGTAGCTGCACCCACTATTACCAACATATGGGCTTTTCAGAATCAGATTGCCAGTTTATACAGATATCGGCTTAAAGAAAAAATAATCCACTGAAAACTTCTTTCACCTTGTTGATCAGACAACACTCTCTCTAACCTACAAATATCAATGAATATGTTTTGTGTTATACAATCTACCTGTAGGTTATAGATATGAATCTGGTCTGTAGGTTTTCTGAATTAGGCTTCAGTCTGATGCACTATTTCTATCACTAGGTTGTCTAGGAGGAGAAATAGTAGTATTAAGCCACGATCTTCTAAGCGATATTCCCAAAGACTCCAAAACAAAGACGACCTGGGAAAAATCTGTGCTGCAGTGGAAGAGGCCTCCCTACATGAACAAGTGACAAGATCTGAGGCTACAGCACCTGCTAAATGCTCTGAGGCATTTCCTGAGAAATCAGCTCTCAAGGAAATAGAGGAGAGATTCCCCTTTGTAGAGATCAGTGTCAACGATCGCAGTAGTGCTGAGTTACATCTACAGGGGAATGTGCCAGAGACAGCAGATGAGGTCTCCAGAATCATCTGCCTGAGCTCAAATGATGAGTCTCCCCCAAAAAATGGAATGGTAGAAAACCAGTCAGTACTTGAAGCCTCTGTGCTTGTGGTCTCTCAGACCCCAGAAGCAAATGGGGCAAGAGGAAGCCGGGGTGCATCTAAGCTGAAAATAGCAAATATACTCACTACCAAAGCCACCATAAATGAGGAGCCTAAGGAGGTTGATGGCTGTGCTCTGGGACCACAGGATAAACAGACTCCTGGAAAGGAGCTTTCCCAGGATTTAAAAGACAATGCAGGGACCCCTACGGGCTCCCGATCAAGCCGATGCTCTGTGCGCCGTAGTCTGATGGGTAAGACTTCCCTCACCCGCAGAACATCATTGGCAGAGAAGTACTCGTTAGCCAGCAAAAGGGAAAGTATGATCCGGAAATCTGTCAGAAATTCTTCTAAGAAGAAAATTCGGAAGTCATCTCAAGTCTCCAACAATGTGAACTGTAAGTTTCTAAGGTTTACCAAACCACTTTGCTTTGTGCTCTGCCCACATGGCCTACTGCAGTTAAATATTTCTTTCTGTTGCCCATATAACGTCACACAGGAAGTCAGTGAAGCTGATTCCTCTTAGCAGCCATGTAAAGGGTGCTGTGGACTACTGATTCTAGAGCCTCCCTATTTTCAAAAGGAGAGCCAGGGTCAGAATTTTCAAAACCTAATTAAAAGTGGTAAGGAGTTTCTTTATTTTAACTTGCAGTGGCAACAGGTTTCTATCTCTAGAGGGGGAAGGAAAACTAGGTTTAAATATCCCATTGCTGTGGTGATAGGAAGGAAACAACATTGTCTTAGCGCAAAACAACCAAAAAGCAGCATTTCCCCACTGTGCCAGGCATGTATGAAATCCAAAAAGTAAAGAAAGAACCGGTGTCCTAGTAAGATAGCTTCTGAAATGTAAATGCTGTGGGGAAAGTCTTTGTAATCTAAACAGAGGGAACTCAGTCCAGTTACAAAGGAGGAAAGCTATTACACTAACAGCCTTCCAGTTGTGTTGATACATAGCATTTTAACCAAGGTATTTCTATTTGTTTATTTATTTTTAACATACAGACAAGCAGTTCTTGAAGAGTTACCTATGAAAAAACACAGATTGGAAGCATTTGCACATAGTTTAATATGCAGTTGCACAGCAGTTGAGCTGTTTGAGAACTGTGCTAGAGACTGAGAATCTCCCCACCAGGGGTTGGCAACCTCTGGTCCCTGGACCAGAACTAACCCACAGGGTTTTGAATCCAGCCTGGAAAGGTCTAACTTGGCCTGGGAAGGGAGCAGCATGCGGGTGTGCCATGTTACCCATCCCCTCTACAGTCCTCCCTGTTGCACTGTCTCCTTTCACTTGCTGAAGAGGGGTTGGTTACCTGCAATGAGAGAAGTGCAAGAACATGAGCTTTGGGGAGGGGCCCCAGCCTGGGGTGGCAAGTTGCCAGCCCCTGCTCTGTACTAGTGAATTTTATGTAAAGCTGTCCTGTGACATTGCCCAAAACACTTCCTAAGCAAAAGTGAACTACCCAATCCTGGCAGTGTTCTCTGCAGTGGAGTTTGAAGAAGCACTGTTGAAAAAGTTTTGTTAAGTCAGTTTGGATAGTGGCTATTGCTGCTCTTTGGAATACTTTGCTGACAGTTTTATGTAACGGTAGTTCAACTTCTTTGAGTACATAAAGTTTGAGTCCTTTGTTAGGGATTAATGGTTTACACTTATCTGAAATTATTTTAAATTCATTTCAGGTAGGACATGGCCTTGCAAAATAAGTGGGAATGTAACTATCTTGTTGCAAGTACATGGGATGCTATTTTTCTGAGCTAATATAAAGTCAGTTATGTCTGCTTTTACCGTTCTGGAAAGCAAAGTGTACTAGAGATATTTGATTTGGATAAATAACTGGTAGAAAGAATTGACTGGCCCCCAATGTCCTTAAAAAGTGTGACAAAAATGCACCCCAAGTTAGAAGAGAGGAACTGAGTGGCCTTTTACTGTGGTCTTTTCCCAGGTGTGTGTGTGTGTGTGTGTGTGTGTGTGTGTGTGTGTGTGTGTGTGTGTCTCTGTCTCTCTCTCTCTCGTGTAAATTGGGTTGTCTAGTTAAGGAGCTGGGGACTTCTCAGTGATATGGAGAACTTATTCTTTCTTGAAGTAAGGGGAGTCAAGTTCTTTGAAGAGCTCTTTATGTACTATGTATTTCTATTATGTAATAAGTAGTAGCAAACTTAACTAAATCCTGCAGCAATGCCATGAATGTGGGGTAGGGA